GATTTTATTTTTGATTGCATATTAATGTACTGTATTTATTATTGACATGCAATCAGTAAGGTCAAATTCAAAATAGCTGCACAATGAATAAATTTGATTACACTAGAAAAAAATGGGAGATCTGACCTTATAATTCTTGGCAGGTGGATGTTCCCAAGTAACTTCGGTAACCAGGCTGTAAGACAGAACAGGAAACCCATCTCCAGAGCATCATCTGCAAAAACATCGGTAAATACAGATACTGTGTGCTCTACTTGAGCACAGCACAGGGGCATGTTTAATTTAAAACAACAGGGTTCTCTTTATTGGGAATGACCTGAATATTTGCACTGTATTACATTTTCTTTTGTTATTACAATTAGTAATAGTGGTAGTTTCTGCTGTTGTTGTGATTGTACTCTTGTTATTAAATGAAAAATCGACTTCATTTTGTTAATGATTTGTAACTATTTCATGTCTGTACAAATGTAAATATTTGACTTGATTTAAAATGATTAAATGCATCAAATAATCAATTGAAATTACCATTAATTCTGTCATACGGTGTAATACTACTAACCAAAACAGTTGCAAAGGTCAGAAGAATACCCTTCCAAAAGCAAGGCCTAAATGACTTTGCTGGAACCGGAGAGTATTAGTTGTATGAATATCAGTCTCTTAATCAGGAAACATCGGTAAATACAGATACTGTGTGCTCTACTTGAGCACAGCACAGGGGCATGTTTAATTTAAAACAACAGGGTTCTCTTTATTGGGAATGACCTGAATATTTGCACTGCATTACATTTTTTTTTGTTATTACAATTAGTAATAGTGGTAGTTTCTACGGTTGTTGTGATTGTACTCTTGTTATTAAATGAAAAATCGACTTCATTTTGTTAATGATTTGTAACTATTTCATGTCTGTACAAATGTAAATATTTGACTTGATTTAAAATGATTAAATGCATCAAATAATCAATTGAAATTACCATTAATTCTGTCATACGGTGTAATACTACTAACCAAAACAGTTGCAAAGGTCAGAAGAATACCCTTCCAAAAGCAAGGCCTAAATGACTTTGCTGGAACCGGAGAGTATTAGTTGTATGAATATCAGTCTCTTAATCAGGACCCTGTATGTTTGTATATTTTGGAAAAGTTCCCTGGGACTAAATCCACTCCGCAGCAGTTCACCGTGAACAGAGAAATGTTTTTAGCAGCAGCGGCAGGAACAGCAGCGAAGTTTGTGTTCAGGCAAAGAGCGTATCTGAAAGGCAAATACTTTTCCACAGAAGGTTATATGAACATTATTCAGCATTGTTAAGGTGTTAATCAACTTCTAACATTTTTTCCATGTATAATAAAGCATGCAGTAGATGTTTAAAGCATGGATGCAACTTCTGATGACATGCGGCCACAAGGACTTTAAAAAAAACTAGAAAAGAAGGAATAAATTAAATACAAATTTAAGAAAATCCAAGGAATAAATTGAATTAATCAAAATTAAGTATCTGCCAATGGGGCTAGAAATTACCTTTTCAAATGGAAAACAATTGAAGACATTTTAAGGCCTTAATTTGTGAAAAGGGATAATTAAAGGGTTAGTTCACCCAAAAATGAAAATTAGCCCATAAATTACTCACCCTCAAGTCATCCTAGGTGTATATGACTTTCTTCTTTCAGACGAATCCAGTCAGAGTTATATTAAAAATTGTCTTTGAACTTTCAAGCTGTTTCATGGCACTCAGCGGGTGTTGCATGCTTCAGTCCAAAACAAGTTAAACTAGAAAAGAAGGAATAAATTAAATACAAATTTAAGAAAATCCAAGGAATAAATTGAATTAATCAAAATTAAGTATCTGCCAATGGGGCTAGAAATTACCTTTTCAAATGGAAAACAATTGAACACATTTTAAGGCCTTAATTTGTGAAAAGGGATAATTAAAGGGTTAGTTCACCCAAAAATGAAAATTAGCCCATAAATTACTCACCCTCAAGTCATCCTAGGTGTATATGACTTTCTTCTTTCAGACGAATCCAGTCAGAGTTATATTAAAAATTGTCTTTGAACTTTCAAGC